CTGGGCCAAACGTGGTCATGGCAGTTTAGAATTTCCCCCCTAAGTGAGTTTGAATTGAAAACTTCAAGTTTATAAACCAAACATGAGTTCACTTTTCAATGAATGAGACATGCATCCCTTATGGCTTAGAACAGTGACAGAACAAGGGAGTGCTGACCTCTTACTTGCCTCCGACACACCAGGTGCCTCATAAAACAGAGAATACTCCAGAGGCTTCCAGACAAACTGGGACTGGGGTGGCGAAAACGCAGTTGATTCTCTTCCTTTGGTTTATTTCATCCTGGTTCTCATTCCTACCCTTGTTACCTCCCCTCCCATCCTATTCATTCATTGGCTCCTTGTCTTCCTCCCAACCCTTAAGCTGGGTTCCCCAACGATCAATCATTAGAAGTCCTCTCTCCTTATTCTGTATACTTCTTCAGGCTGCTATTACCCATGTTCCTGGCTTTAACTACAGCCTCATCACTCCCCAATCAAAAGTCAGCCCCAAATACCTTTCTAAGCTTTATACCCATACATCCAGGGCCTGCCAGACACAGATCCACTTGCATGTCCCACTGGCATCTCAAATACAAGTACTAAAATGAACCACTTGTTCAGCCATCTCCCATAACTTGCTGCTGCTTCTCCTCCCATATTCCCTATCTTATTACCAAGTCCAGATACAGAGAAATAATCTTAGATTCCTCCTCTCCATTCCCCGATATCCTGTGAGTACTCAATACCTTTGATTCTATCTCCTAAATCTTTCCATCCTCAATCCCAATGCCTTAGTTCTTATAAAAGCCTTGTAAACAGGCTCCCCAACTCATATTTCATCCTTTTCCAGTATTATACCACACATTTTCCCTCAAAACAATCCCTCTCATTTGTTAGTCTCACTAGGGCTAACTGATATGAACTAGTGCCCCTGAACTGGCTGTTCATAGCTGGCATACATTCTGATTGGTCAATGCCTATATCACATGGTTGTCAAATGTTTTGACTGTCACCCTGTTACCCCCACACTTAGATCCTTCTATAGCTCCCCAAAACAGTCTCTTTAGTGTGCCATATCATGACTTCTTGTTCTCAGGCCAGTGCCTAAGCCACAACATCATGCTACCTAACCCTTTCTAGTTTCTCTAATGCAGGGCTTCTTTGCTTGCGGTGTACAGGTGCAGGGGTTTGCAGGAGGGGTTATGTGAACTTGGGAAACATTTACATGTTTAGTTTTGTTAATCTCTAACCAAAATTTAGTATTTCTTTCAATTATGAATACAGGCAACAAGCCATAATATTAGTAATGCCTATATTTTGTCATCTATAAAAATGGTATTTTCAAATCACACTAACTTGCTCAAGGTAACTAAAAAATTATTTATACTCATCATTACAAATTTAAAAAAAGTAATTCTGACTGCTATTATATCTCATTATCCAACAACTTCTTTCTTTTGTAATCTTGTATATTTTATGCACTTAAGAACATCATTGTGAGTAGAATCCAAAAACTTTATGAGAGAGTGAAAGAGATGCATGGCACAAAAAAGATTTAGAATCCACACTGTAATTAATGGCTTCCCCAACCATCCATCTCTCTAGCACATATTTATTGACTGTTTACCAGGTATGAATTATGCTAGGCCCTAGGGGATGTAAAGATGAAGAAGACACAGTTCCTTACCTCAAAGTGGGGAAAGGTGAAGGCTGATTGTTTAAAAACTGTGTGATAAATGCAATGTAACTTTACATAGGAAGTGACATCTAACCAAAACCAAGGACCGGGAAGGCCTCTTGGGGATGACACTGGACAAGCAGGATTTAGTTAAATGACAAAATAACCTGTAGGCTGGGCTCAGTGGCTCATGTCCGTAATCCCAGCACCTTGGGAGCCCGAGGTGGGTGAATCACAAGGTCAGGAGTTTGAGACCAGCCTGAACAACATGGTGAAACCCTGTCTCTAGTAAAAATACAAAAAATTAGCTGGGTGTGGTGGCGGGCACCTGCAATCCCAGCTACTCGGGAGGCTGAGGCAAGAGAATTGCTTGAACCTGGTAAGTGGAGGTTGCAGTGAGCTGAGATCATGCCACTGTACTCTAGTCTGGGTGACAGTGTGGGACTCTGTCTCAAAAAAACAAAAAAAGGAAAAAGAAATAACCTATGATGCCATAAACCATGGTATACTCCTTTGGAAACAACTATGAGTCTGTTATATTTGCTCCAGGAAAGAAAAATTATTTTAATAAAATAAATTACTTTATGACCAATACTGTGTATAAAGTCACTGGACCTCAGAAGGAGGATAATCAGCCCAACAGATCTTTTAGAGCTAAAAATGCCCATTTTCCTCAAGCATATAAAAAGCTCTCTTCTTGTGTCAAATGGAAATCCAGTGGTAGAAAATTTGGATTTAGAACCAAAGCCTGCAGATTATGGTATGATAGTTCTCTTGGGGAGGAGAAAGAAGTAGAAAACTGTCTGCATGATACAGTAGAAAGCTTATTCTTAGACTAACTTTCCTATGACATTCTGGCTGGATGGCACAAAGATGTACTTTTCAGAACTATTTTTAGTTGAATACTGAGATATAGGAAATGATTTTTCAACAAATGTGTGGCTCGACGACTATTCACACTGGACAGTCCTGGATAGTTCTGCAGTTTCTGAATGCCTTTGTTTGGGTGGAAATGGGAACTAATATCCTTGATTAAGACACCTAAATAGGAATATTTCTAATCCTGGACATTGGTTTTAGTTTGACTAGTTATTGGGGGTGTTTGGAAGGTAGGAGGCAATGCCCATTATCTTCCTAGAACTATGTGCACTTTTAAGTTTCCTCATTTTCTCAAGCAGATTGGGACATATGTTGATTCAACTTCTACCAATATTAAATTACAGCATGTTTCCTCTTTTTATTACAGAAACAAAAAGTTGCAATAAACTTCCTGTCTCTCTGTACCTAGTTTCACTTAGGAGCTGTAATTGTATTATTCTAGTGGAGGGCTTGAATTTTGCTGGTGGAAAGGATAATGAATTAACTGCAAGGTAGTTTTGCGTGATTAAATGAAACAATGCTTTGTTTCCCCATATTCTACAAGTACATTTAACGCTATCTCAAAAACAAAACTATTGCCTGGAGTTGAAAAAGTTTAGTCCTATGACTGTGTGTTAATACTAACCTTGAAATGTCTACCATCTACCATTATACCCCCATATTTCCCCCATAAAATTTCAGTAAACTTACAGTCCTGACATAATTACCACGAACAGTCCTCTATCTGGGAATGATTACACTTGCATATGGATTTCACTTAGGACAGGAATAAGTTAGCACCTTTCTTTGACCTTTTTCTGAGCACAACACACAAGCTGAATCCAGAAATGATGAGTATTTTATAGCAGCTGGCTTCCACAGGTGGTAAGGCAGGCTCTGACCCATGATGGGTCTAGTCGTTCAGCAAGTGTGAATTTTGGAAGTGAGCATCTGCCAGTCTTATTATTAACTGAGAGTTGAGCTGTTTTTATGAACTCCCAACCTGGAAGAACTTAAATGCATTTTTGAAACAGATTCACTTATAGTTTAAATGAAAAATAAAATACTGTTTTTCTTGTATTTTCACATCGCTCAATGACTGGAAGTAGCTGAAAGCCCCAGAGAGAGGGCCCCCCTGAAGCCCCAGCACACTCCCTTCGGCTAGTGAGGGCTTCCTTCTGGTTTCCAAATTTCAATCTCTAGCCAATTGCTATTTTAGAAATATGATGACTACTATGGCCATGAGACAAAAACACATTGGCATTTTCAAAAGTCCTGTACGGGTGAATATTTTAAATATTCTAAAAAAAAATTTTAAGAACATATACATTTCTTGTTTTAAGATAATTGTATTGGGAGGTTATGGAATTGAGAATTAACAAGGTAGAAAAGTTTAAGTCAAATGTATCAAGGTTTATAAAGACATTCTAAGTCCAGTGGGTTGTCTCATATTTCAGTTGTGGATTGCTCCTGAGTCCTGTGAGAGTTTGCCACTCAGCAGGGATCATTTCAGCAGGTGTCATAGTTCAGCACCAATTGTAAAGTTCAAGGTTAGTGCTGTCCAACAGAAGTATAAAGAAAGGTACATATGCAATTTTAGAATTTCCTAGTTACAATGTTTAAAAAAGTATAAAGGAATGGGTGAAATTATTTTTAATAATATGTTTTACTTAATCCACTATATCTAAGGTAGTATCATTTCAGCAGGTAATCAATATAAAATTAATGAAATATTTTGCTTTTGGGGGAACTAAACTTTTGAAATCCAATGTGTGTTTTACACTTATGGCACATCTCAATTAAGGCTAGCCACAAATAACCACATGTGGCTAGTGGCTATAGTATTAGTACAGCTCTGTCCTACTCAGAATGGACAGCCAGACAAATGATGCCACAGGAGTACCACAGTCATTCAAATTCTAGGGTGACCTTAGACATATATACTAAACCCTAGTCTTATAGTTTCAGAGACTGGTGCTTCCAAATGTGTGTGTATTTGCAGAATAACTCCCAAATGTTGAATATTTCACAAAACTGATCTTAGGGTCAGAGCAGGACATTCCTACTCTAATACATTAGAGAATAAGAAAGGCTCACTAGTCATGAGGTCATATAACATATAATGTATTTTCTACTGTTTCATTTATATTCCAACATAATTCATTTATTCTATAAATATTATGGAGTTTTCTCAGTAGAAGGCCTAGAGAGGCTAAAATGTATTGACAAAACAGAGAAGTATTGATTCTAAAATTAATTCAACAAAAACAGGTGATAAAAAATATTTAAGTTACTATGCAATCAGCTTTACTACTCTCTACGCAACCTTCAAGGATAATTTCAATTTTAACTGGAAGTAGAACTCTCTGTCATTCTACAAACCCTTAAAGTCTTACAGATTCTAACTAGTTCTAGTCCTTTGCCCTCATAAATATATCTGCCCATCTACTTCTTATCTATCCCCTTACAGCACTAAAGTGATTACCTTACATAAATGCTCCTTTATGGTTTCGTCATCTCTCTTCACCACCTCCATCATTTCTTGGCCCCCAAGGTAGGCAGCATTAGCTACATTTAAAAAATAAAAAGTCAGACATTTAGAATATATAGAACAAACACAAATTTCAAGTTAATTTTAGTAAATTCATGTTCCTCCTTTCTTTTGGCATGTGCTATCTGATGAGAGATACGGGTGAGGCCAACAGAGGAATGTGAGTCAGGCAACATGCACACAGTCTCTGGAAACAAGAGCATTTCATTTAAAAGAACCTTCTTCCAACCTCATCTAGCTTCTCCATAGCAAAAGTTTAACAGTTCCACAGCCCAATGTCAGATACCACAGCAGATGATGTGTGCAATTGTACCAGATCAATATGTGCTATTTCGATTTAAGGCTTAGAAGCACAAATTGTTACCAATAAATCATGTATGCCAAGAAAATGCAAACAGTTACTAACATGAAAATCTCTTGGCTTTTTTTTTTTTTTTTAAAGGAAACAAAAGGATTATTTATTTTTAAAAATACGTTTAAAGATCTCTAGGAGTTTTCAATAAGGGTTAGTCCCATTATACTGGCTGCAAAATGAGCAAAGTGATGCTCACTTTCAAGATGTCAAATACCTAGGAAAGAGGAAGAAAGTCAGAGATAACATGAATGTATGTGGCTTTCTTGTACTGGTAAGAACATTTGCATTCAATGCTTTGTACCTTCAATTCCATTTTGACTGGGATTATTATTGTTATCTTGCTTTCTTTTTTTGCCAGCATCTCTCCTTCCCTTCATTTTCAATCTTTTGTCATTTTGTTTCAAGTATGTCTCTTGAAATCATGTAAGCGAACTTCTTTAAAAATGCAATTTGAAAGTCTCTGTTTCTTAAATAGAGGGACTAAACATATTCATATATATTGAGATCAAAGCTATTTGGTCTGACTCCAGTCATCCTGCTTTATATATCCTATGCTTTCTTGTTATTTCTGACTCTTATCTTTAGTGTGAATGATGAATTTTCCTCCCTACCCAGGATTTAACAAATTTATTTTCATTAACAATCTGAAAGTATAAATTCCATTTTTATTTATCTAGTGGTAAGCCTTACCTAAGAACTGCAAACTTACTTTTTATTTTCTCTTGCTGTCTGGAATTACTCATCTAAACAAGGCATGACCTTAGCATACTTGCACTTTCCCCGTGCCTTCCTCCCATCCTGCCTCCATCCCTGTGGCTTCAACCATCTGTAATTTTAGTTCCAGATTATTATTATTTTTTTTTTGAGACAGAGTTTCGCTCTTTATTGCCCGGGCTGGAGTGCAATGGCACGATCTTGGCTCACTGCAACCTCCACCTCCCGGGTTCAAGCAATTCTCCTGCCTCAGCCTCCAGAGTAGCTGGGATTACAGGCATGTGCCACCACGCTCAGCTAATTTTGTATTTTTAGTAGGGACAGGGTTTCGCCATGTTGGTCAGGCTGCTCTTGAACTCCTGACCTCAGATGATCTGCCCGCCTTGGCCTCTCCCAATCCTGCCCGCTAGGATTACAGATGTGAGCCACCATGCCCAATCCCCAGATTATTAATTTTTACATTTTGCCTCTACTTTCCTTGTTTAAAGTTTTATCAAGGTAACACACACACATATATAGTTTCATATCAAATATCACAGAAATGGTTCTAGTGCAAAACCATAGTTTCGTTTTCCATCATTTCCCATTTCTAGACCCGTTTCCTAGAGGAAGCCTCTCTTAACTCTTTTAGCTGTCCTTCCACTAGTTATCTTCAAACATCTAAACACTTACGATCATCTTGCCATTTCTTGATAACTTATTTATTACCCTTGCTGAGTTGCTGTGAGAGATGAGGATTTAGCTCACTTTTACAGCCCTACCATTCCTTCCTGCCATCTTCTCAACATGTTTATATCTTATTTTGAATTATTCTATTCTTACTTAAATAATATACTTACACTTTTACTTCTAAATGTTGTTCACTGCTGAGCCAAGTGGTATCTAGAATGACACTTCCATTTTTACAAGTCTCTGTCCTCCAATATTTGTTTTTGTTACAGTTACCTTTTTTTCCCCCTAACTCTACTCAATATTTTTCTGAGTCAATTATTCCTGGAGACCTCCTTTCCAGGACCCTTAGACCCTCTGCTCTAACCTGCACCACTGTCGACTTAGAATTTCCCTTCCCTGCCTTCTTGGGTTGTTCCCATTGTTTTCTAAGTCCCAGTTAATTAACTCATTCATTTGTTTGTTCATTCAAAGATGACTGAACACCTACTTACTTTATGCCAGGCATTATTTTAGGTGCCAGAGATGGAGCAACAAACAAGACAGAAAAGCTATTCTTGAGATACAGCTTTTGGGATGATAGATGATAGATGGTGAGAAAGTGCTATGGAGAAAAATAAAATCAGCTTAGGAGATAAGTCTGTGCAGTGACAGAGGTGGCCTATTTTATGTAAAGTTCACTGAAAAGACCTTCCTGATAAGGGCTTGTGTGAACAGAGAACTTGAATGAAATGAGAAAATGGACCCTGCAGACACTTGGGTCGGCAGCACTCTAGACAGAGAACAGGGTAGGAGATGCTCCCTTAAATATAGCCATGATGTAATCCTAAAAAGTAGCACTTTAATCATTCTTGTCTGTCTGTGATATTAGCATGAATACATATAGGAGTAAATATTCTGCATTTTCTTGGCCTAATCTCCTAAATCAGGACAGGATATTTAGTCGCAGTTATACACTAAGAAGCTGGACTTTAAGACTCTAAGTCCTGGTTCCAAAACCAGAGCTGTCTTTGTTTTACTATATTTCGTGGAATTTATAAGGACCAACTAAATTAAAGCAACACGGATTTGATTAATACATTATGGCCTATTCACTAAATTAATTATTCTATAACCTATTATCCTGCAGAATATATAATGTCAAATACATATTTAAAAATAATAGTAACTGACAAAAAGCAAACCATGAAATAGTACAGTATGATCCCACTATTGTACAGATACATGTGTATGGTACAGATTTATTTGAAAAGATAAACAATAAAATAATAACACATTATCTCTGGTTCATGGAATCCCAGGTGATCTGCTTGTCCTTTCTTCCCTCTCACTTCCCTGCCTCCCTTTCAATAGGTTATAGTTTCTTTCTTTGTACATCATTTTGTCTCTCCTAGAATTATTTATTGCATTTGATTTTCTTTTTTCATGGGTAGACAATGAAAATTCTCTCCTTGCTTCAAAAATGCATCAGATTTTATTCCCAAATGTGCAAACACATCCAATAATTCATTTATTCTGTCCCTCCCCCCACAGAGCCTTCCATTGTTTTGATCCAATCTTGGACGGGTCGCTCTCCAGGCCTGCTGCATAGCTATCATCCTTGGACTTCCCTTTGCCACTTCTCTGGACTGAATTCCCTGTTTTATGGATTCTGTTCATGACTTTCTCATTCTTGGTTTGTTCCCTTACTTTACTGAAGCACATTTTCCAGTAACTAATAAAAAGATACACAGGAATTTTTATAAATGTTTACATGTCTAATTTTTGTTTCTTTTCCCACATGAATAGCATAGTTTGGCTCTATATAGAATTTTAAGCTGAAAGGGGCTTACCCTCCAATTTATTATCTTCCAGCATCCAAGGTTAATGATTTTAATTTTAGTTTCTTGGAATGTGACTAATGTGACTACTTCCCTTTGCCCTGCCCCTATCCCATCTCCTTATCCTCAAACTCAGCTCCCTTAGCTCTGGAATCCTGAAGTTTCGCAGGAATATGCCCTAATACAAGTCTTCTGTTCGGTAATTAGACTGGAAATCCAGTGGGCCCACTCACTGTTTGGACTTAGCAACTTTCTTTCTGGAAATTTTTCTTTTATTATTTCTTTGATAATTTCTTCCCCTGTTTTCTCCATCCCCTCTTTCTGGAACTCTTACTAGTAGGATATTGGATCTCTTAGAATTAATCCTCTAAGTCATTTTTCTTCTATAGCCCTTCTCTTTTTCAATTTGTATTACTAGAAATTTCTAAGAGATTTCAACTTTCCCTTCTGTGTTGAATTCTCTATTGAATTTTTATTTTGGCTGTGAAAATTTCAATTTCCAAGAACATTTTCTTGTTCTCTTTCCTTTTTTACAGCATTCTGTTTTTTGTTTTACAGATGTTATATCATCTTTCTGAGATTACAGGGCTGTTTTATAAGAAAGGCTTTTTTTCTTTTTCCTGTCATTTTATTATTCATTTCCTGACCTCCCCTTCCCGCAGTCTGTTTTTCTGGTTTGGTCTCTCTCTTATGTTGAGGAAATGTCTGATACACTTGCATTGTATAAAGCCATGTGCTCTAAAAGTTATGTCTGATGACCTCATCTGTATTTGTTAGCTGTGAACTCATGAAGAAAGGCTGTCATGCCAATTTGAAAAGTTTTCATTTAAGATACTTGTCAGAGGAAGGGCCATGTTTTCCTATTAGGATATTTGTTTTCTATTTTATTTTTGACAAACTGGGCTTCTATATCCCATTATTTCCCCTACAAATATAAGAGCTATAAAGTTCAGGAAAATAATTTCTTCATGCTTCCTCCTTTAGCCTTGACTTTTCAGGATTCTTTGTCCCTGGACTTGAGATACCCTGTTTGCTTATGGGTAGAAGAATGTTTTTCCTTTTAGATGTAGTCACAGTGACCTGCTTCTTTCCTGTTACAGCAGCCCCTGATAAACAGCCACACACTTACCAGCTTTCCTGTGTAATGTGGCTATTACTGAGTATCATATGAACAAGCTAGCCCCAGCTAAGATTCTAATTTCTTGACACAGTGTTTCAAAGACACTTTATTTGCAGTGTAGCCAAGATTGGTGGACAAGACTTATTTTCCCACACTCCCTGCAGACAGAGCAGGTTTGAGTTCTCTCTTGTTGCCATGAGGCTGAGTACTATGCCCCAAGGAGTGAAAGCACAAGTGCCTTCTTGTACATGACAGAAGAACCCCAAGCGGCAGGCCTCATTATGTGCAAGAATGACTCATGTGGTCCATGTTGCCTTAGTTGGATCTTTCTCATTGTAA